GTGTTCCTGCTGGGGGTCGCTGGTGTCTGTGTGTGTGGAGTCTGTGTGTTCCTGCTGGGGGTCGCTGGTGCTGGTGTCTGTGTGTGTGGAGTCTGTGTGTTCCTGCTGGGGGTCGCTGGTGCTGGTGTCTGTGTGTGTGGAGTCTGTGTTTTCCTGCTGGGGGTCACCGGCGCTGGTGTCTGTGTGTGTCTTTAATCTTTTCCTCCTGCGATCCCGCTGGTTCCCACTGATCTGCGGAGACGGTGATTCCATATTGAAAACACCCGTTTTTTTAAAAACTGTATGCAGAAATTCTTTTAAAAAAGGGGCTGAAAACAAGTTTTTCCGGACATCCGCGAATGACAGAACCCCCCCCCCACCACCACCGTGTAATATATAGACAGCAGTTCCCCGTTATCCCCAGATCTAGCCTTCTGGTTTGGAAATGGAATACTCTCATATAAATTTCTACACTCTACAATACCGACATCGTGACCGACGCCATGTTCTCCCTGTTCGTCCAAGCCGGCCACGCCTCTCTCAGCCACCAGGGGGCGCCGTGATCCCGGCTCGGCCGAACGAGAGGCGCTCGGATCGTGTCTCTTCAATGTGTGGCCTGCTTTAATGACACCCTCGGGTGTTCTTGATCCCCTCGTAGCAAACAGACACACGCCTGGGCGTGGACTGAATCATCAGGCCTGCCCGCTTGAAAAACGCGTCGCTCTTGGACGAGGCCTGCGCCATGCGTCGGCACGGTCTGAAAGAGGCAGATCTCCTTTTCCAAACGGAAGACTTGCCAAGCAGCACCTACCTCATCTTTATCGGGCTCATTTAATCTCATTTTTCCATTTTAAGACGCGTCGAATACGTGGCCCCCGTACCACGGTCCAGCGAGCGCTAATACTCGAGTGGACACAGAGCTAGAATGGAATTCTATACCGCTCTATAGGAATGCCTGCTACGAACGCAAGTGACCAATTGTATTTCAAAAAACGCATCTCCAACAAATAGAGAGGTAGGAGAATGTGCGTGATTTTGGAACAGCGCTAGTGTGGTGAGCACAGGAATGCACAGAAATGCTGGCAGTCTTGTGAGCACGGGAAAGCGTGATAGAGAACAGAAAAATATTTAAGGACTGTTCTAGGTTCATTTGAGAAACATACACCGAGCGTCTCTCTGTGTGTCGCTCCCAGGAGCATGAAATAAAAACTTATGTTACCTTCCGAGACGGACTCTGGTAACGGGGAAAAACGT